TACCCAGGCCAGAGTGCAGTGTCATCATACACAGCAACCTCATTCTCCGGGGCTCAAGCAATCCTCCTGCCTCAGCCTTCCAAGTAGCTAGGACTATAATGCACGTCCCACCACGCCCAGCTGATTTTTTCTACTTTTTGTAGATAAACAGCACCTCACTATTATTTCTTCTTTATTTTTTTAAGTACACGAGCTTATGTTTTCTGATATGACTGTCTCTTCTTTTTTTTATACACTTCTAATGGTATATGAAAGCTTTACACCATTTAATGGTCATATCGATGTGTGTCTTAATATTAAGTGGCTTTTCACCGTTTCTAATCACAAAAACATTCATGTAGTGGTATACTATAAAGCTATGTTAAAAACTTACAAGTATTAGTGATACGTGCTTTTCAAATGATGTGAAAAAGCAGAGTACAAAGCAGTGTATGCAGTATGCTGCCATTCGTGTAACAAAGGAGAGCGCTATCTAACCATGTGTACAAATATCTCTGGAATGATATAAAAGAACCGTTCCCGAAGCTGGCTTGGGGGGAAAACAAGTGATGGGAGGGAGTCCTATGTTTCACCTCATCCTTGTATGTTTGTGTCTGAACTGTTTGCCACGTACATTTTTATTACTTTTTTGTATGTTTTTTAAAATTAGATGTTTTGAAAGGGTTTTTACACAATGATGGAATGAAAATTAAAAATAAACAAACAGAAAGTACACAAGCAAAGGCAAGTCACAGGAGACAACATCGGCTTGGTCAGAAGACAGACCTTGGTGTTAGGACCTTATCTGAAAATTTCCAAACTTTAGGACATTTGGAAATTTTAATCACTCATTCTTTTATGTATTTGTTTATTTATTTATATTTGAGACAGAGTCTTACCATGTCACCCTTGGTTGAGTGCCGTGGCGTCACAGCTCACAGCAACCTTCAACTCTTGGGCTTAAGCGATTCTCTTTCCTCAGCCTCTCAAGTAGCTGGGACTACAGGTGCTCACCACAATGCCCAGCTATTTTTTTGTTGCAGTTGTTTAGCTGGCCGGGGCCAGGTTTGAACCTGCCACCCTCAATGTATGTGGCTGGTACTGTAACCAGTGTGCTACAGGTGCCGAGCCCACTCATTCTTTTAAAGTTACTTTGTATCTAAAGGTCAATAACTAGTAGGCTGAAAACTAAACAGGACTAAGAACTCCGGGCACATTTCCAAGAGCACATCAAGACATCTTGTCTTTTCTATTTTCTCTTACTAGAAAGTTGGTGGAAGAGCATTTTCTCCCTAATGGATAAGCTGTGGCAATCAACTAATCCTTATTAAATGTTTTAAAGATAGGCTCGGCGCCTATAGCTCAACTGGCTAAGGCGCCAGCCACGTACACCTAAGGTGGCGGGTTCGAATCCCCAGCCCGAACCCGCCAAACAACAATGATGGCTGCAACCAAAAAATAGCCGGGCGTTGTGGCGGGCGCCTGTGGTCCCAGCTACTTGGGAGGTGGAGGCAAGAGACTCGCTTGAGCCCAGGAGTTGGAGGTTGCTGTGAGCAGTGAAGCCATAGCACTCTACCCAGGGGGACAGCTTGAGGCTCTGTCTCAAAAAAAAAAAAAAAAAAATGTTTTAAAGATAAAGGTGGGCAAAGTGGCTCATGCCTGTAATCCTAAGACTCTGGGAGGCCGAGGCAGGTGGATCACCTGAGCTCAGGAGTTGGAGGCCAGTTGAGCAAGAGCAAGACCCTCCCCCCCCAAAAAAGCCGGGCATTGTATTGGGCGCCTGTAGTCCCAGCTACTTGGGAGGCTGAGGCAAGAGAATCACTGAGTCCAAGAGTTGGAGGTTGCTGTGAGCTATCATGCCACAGCACAGCACTCTATCAAGGATGACAAAGTAAGACTCTGTCTCAAAATAAAATAAAATAAAATGTTCTCAAAGTAAAGCTAACTGTGGTCTGAGATGAAAGGAGGGGGAAGAAAGGCAGAGATTTTCCTCAAAATGGCCTGTCATGTGGTATTTGAAGTTCTAAACTGAAGTGCTAGTTGATGGGGTGAACCCACTAAGCTTCAGAACTTGACACAATTAACACCTACTAAAATAAAATACTCAATGTCCTCATCAGAACACTCACCTGTTCCGCAAACACAAGGAGCAAAGCACCAGACTTCCATAGGCCTCGGTGAATTTCTGTAAAGCCCTCAGCCCCGCCCCTGGCTCTGTGAATTTCTGTCTGGCTTCAGCAGCAGAGAACAGCTTTTCCGCAATCTGCTCAGGAAAGCCAATAAGGGAATCAATGTGATCGACATTGTCAGAGATGAAGCCCAGAACAAGGCTGAAGAGGGATTTGGCGGAGTACCGAAGATTCCCCTCCCGGGTGTATGTGAAGATGAAATGATCAGTCTTCTCTTTATGTGCAGTATCCTCTTCCCTGTTCATACAAAGCTCCACAGAAAAGCCTTTGGGAAACAATCTGAAAGGCTTCGGCTTCTGCAGGCCACTCCTGACGCCTTCCAGAGCCAGATCGACCATGTGAAGCTGCCCATTTTCTCGCACATAGATGGGCCCTGGGTCCAGGGGGCTTTCCGAGTTGAGGTAGTAAGACATTGCTGTGGTTTTGACTGTAAAAGCAAGGCGTAAGAAAGTAATTCCAATTAAAACACCATCTGTAAAATGTAACTTCGTCTTACTGTGCCCAGAGCTTAAGAGACAGGCCTTGTGACTGGTATGGGAAAAACGAAATTTACCCGTCGCCTGGGAACTCCGACATTTGAGGTTATCTCTATCGTCTCCCCCGGAATACTTCTTCCGACTTTCCCCTTTTTCATGTCTATCTGGTGATCTACCCATTTTTCTTTCTTTCTTTTTTTTTTTTTGAGACAGAGCCTCAAGCTGTCCCCCTGGGTAGAGTGCCATGGCATCACGCTCACAGCAACCTCCAACTCCTGGGCTCAAGCGAGTCTCCTGCCTCAGCCTCCCAAGTAGCTGGGACTACAGGCGCCCGCCACAGCACCTGGCCATTTTTTGGTTGCAGCCATCATTGTTCTTTGGTGGGCCCGGGCTGGGGATTCGAACCTGCCACCTTAGGTGTATGTGGCTGGCGCCTTAGCCGCTTGAGCCATAGGCACCGAGCCAATCTACCCATTTTTCAAACCCCAGCTCAAACCTCATCTTTAAAATTCACCCTGAGAAAGTGATCACATGTGCAACAAAGATTCATCTACATGGAAATTCATGGCAGTGGTTTATAGCAGCAAAACAATTAGAAAAAACCAGTATGTCCAACAACTGGAGAGTTATTATATAAATTATGATATATCCATACCATGAAATGTTATAAAGCCACTAAAATGGGCAGCACCTGTGGCTCAGTGAGTAGGGCACCGGCCCCTATACCGACGGTAGGCAGGTTTGAACCTGGCCCCAGCCAAACTGCAACAAAAAAATAGCCAGGTGGGTGGGCGCCTATAGTCCCAGCTACTTGGGGGGCTGAGGCAAGAGAATCGCCTAAGCCCAAGAGCTGGAGGTTGCTTGAGCTGTGACATCACAGCACTCTACCGAGGGCAACAACAACAACAAAAAAGTAACAAAGCCACTAAAATTCTAGAATTTCTAAGAAGCATTCATACACAGAAAAAGATAGGAATACACTAGCACAGAGGCTGAATTTATTTTTTTTTCTAATTCAAGAAAAAGACTAGAAATAAATAACTCCCTTGCTAGTTGGCACCTTCTACACACTTCTTTGTTGCACTTGGCTCACTGTTCTGCTATTGATTTGTTTCTGGGTCTGCCTTCCGCTGCTTTCAGCCCCTTGAGAGGAGGGACCATGTTTAATTCATCCAGACTCTGTAACACAGTGCTCTGGCATGTTACAGTCCACAAGCAGATAATCTGTGGAACTACAGTCAACTCATTTGCTAAATCTTATATAGACCCTAACAGAAGGATTTTCTCAGCCACAGCTATTCTAGCCCTTGGAAGCATCACATCTCTAAGGTGCTATTAGGGCACTTTCAAGGTAAGGCAAAAACAAAACAGTTGGGCATTTCTGCAATCACGTGGGTAACACGCTCTGCCCAGGACTGTTTTTCCGGTAACGGTGAGATTTCAAAATACGTGAGAAATTGTATGTTAAATAAAATAAAGATATTTGGTTATCATTTCTGTGATTCGAAGGGAGAAGGTGAAATTTATTTAACATAGGCCTGACAGTATCCTTGAAAGACTGAGTTTTTCTCGGCTTCTCCTGCATCAGTGCAAGGCCACAATGTGGCCCTGAAGCCGCTTACAAGTGTCAGCAAACAAGTCAGAAATCAGAAATGGTGAGTCTCTGGAGATCAAGTAATGATCATCTGTGGGAATCAGTACTAGCCACACTTCTTTCAAGGATAATTGTGTGTGTAAAAGCACATCAGGGAAGAGGGCCCTGCCTAGCCCTAGAGAGCCTCCCCCTTTCTGGCTCATCTCCTTCTGCCCTACTCTCTGGCCATGCCACACTACTCAGGTTAACGTGCCACGTTCTCGCGTCCCACTGGCCTTCACCCATTCTGCTTCTTTTGGCTACAACAACCTCCTCTGCCTCCCTGACGTAGCTAATTCCTACTAATCATTAGCACTCAGCTCGACCATCATCTCTCTCCTGGGAAACCTTCCCTAACCTCTGCACCAGTTAGCCCGTCTGGTTTTCCCAGAGCACCTCACGTCTCCTACACAGCACTTGGCACCGTGTATTATGTCTGTTTACTTGTCTACACACCCACAGCTGTGAGCTTTTGAAGGCGAGGTACTTATTTACCTTCCTTTTCCAGGCACAACATACTGCCTAGTGCTGAGTGAGCCCTCAAAAGGTACTTGCTGAACTGAATGAAAGGAAGGATGAGACCCCAAAGGGACAGACTGAGTGCTCGGAGTTGCAGGGCCTGCTCATACGGTCGCTAGGAGCCAGCTCCTCTGCCAGGCAACAGCTGCAGGCTCCTCCCCCACTTGCCAGCCCCTTCTGCAGGTGGTGGAAGCCAAGCAGATGATGGGGGTAGACTGCTACTGGTACTACCAGGGGAGTTGGGAGGCAACTAAACTAAAAACCAGAGAAAAAACCCCTGTCACAGTGCCAGCTCTTCTAACCAATACTCTTCCCTTGCCAGCATTCACAGTGCCGCTAAGAGACGCCTCATTTATTCTAAGCTCTTCTTCCAGGAGGGGTAAGCATCTGGCTGCTCTGTACTTGAATCCTGATGAGGAGAGAAAGCAGATCTCCTTCGGTCTTTTTTTTTTTTAACGACACAGTTTCACTCTGTTACCCTCAGTAGAGTGCTGTGCTGTTACAGCTCACAGCAAAGTCCAGTTCTTGGACTTAGGCAATTCTCTTGCCTCCCGAGTTAGCTGGGACTACAGGTGCCTGCCACCATGCCCGGCTATTTTTTTGTTGCAGTTTGGCCGGGGCTGAGTTCGAACCTGCCACCCTTGGTATATGGGGCCTGCGCCCTACTCACTGAGCCACAGATGCCGCCCCTCCTTTGGTCTTTATCCCTGTAATTGGGCATTTAGAGCCCTACTCTACTTGTAGATCAGAAAGCAGACAACAGGCATAAACTTAAAAAGCAATGATTTGATTTTAACAGTAAAAAGGGAAATTTTATTATAATGGATCAATATACTGTGAATTCTCGGGGCAATGAAATAGGGTCTGCCCACCTGTACTACGTATTACATCTTACACCTCAGGCCTTCCACAAACTTTGGACTAAATGGACAAATGGATAATGGAGGGAATAGAGATGAATGACCACTTCAGATGAAAATCAGAAAAGTCTGATTCCATCCAGTAGAGGGCACAAGCAGCTTGAATGCAAACTGCTTCTTATAATCCTGGCAGCTTTGGCTTCCAGGGATCATTTCAAAAAAAAAGACAAGTTCTGCCTATATTTTATCTTTAGATTACTCATCAAGTACCATTTCTTTCTAAAGGCTGAAAGAAGTCCAATTTCCTGAAGAGTAAACCTGTATCACTCGTCCAGAAGCTACTGAAGGAACATTCCCTGAACTGGTTCAGGGAATCCTGGTGACCTTTGATTTCTACTACTAAATGTATGCATCTTCCGTTCTCCGAAAAAGGAGAATTAAATTAATGTTTAGGTGGCTCACTCCTGTGATCCTAGCACTCTGGGAAGCTCAGACAAGAGAATCTCTTGAGGTCAGAAATTCAAGACCAGACTAAGCAAGACCCTGTCTCTACAAAAAAATTTAAATATTAAAAAAAATTAAAACATAAAAATAATGTTTAAGCCCCTCAAGGCTAAGGGAACTGTAAAGGGAAGAGAATTCTACACAGAGTTTTTGTACTTGGCTTCCTTTGGCCCTGGCAGTTGTACAGGGTGGCCTATTAAAAACGCATCCTGTCAGGAGACAGGGTCTGTTCTAAACCATAAAAACTCGATCCAAGGCTCGGTGCCTGTGGCTCAAGTGGCTAGGGGCGCCAGCCACATACATCTAAGATGGCAGGTTCAAATCCAGCCCGGGCCCGCCAAACGATGACGGCTGCAACCGAAAAAAAATAGCCAGGCGTTGTGGGCGCCTGTGTCCCAGCAACTTGGGAGGCTGAGGCAGGAGACTCACTTGAGCCCAGGAGTTGGAGGTTGCTGTGAGCTATGCCCAGGAGTTGGAGGTTGCTTGAGGCGCTGTCTCAAAAAAAAAAGAAAAACCTCGATCCAAATTGGAAAATTAAAATGATGAATATCTGCAAGAATCACAAGGTCCAGTGTTGATCTGTAGTAGCTATATTATACATTAATTAGATCAACCAAAGCAGTAGCATTCAGATAGTCTCTTTCCTGTGTCATAGAAAAACACCCTATTAGTGTATATTCTAGTATTGGGTCACAAGCAAGCCAAAGTTACTACAAAGCACATTATTTCATGAAAGGAATGAAATATAGCCACACCATATTAAAAACTCAGTTCTTCACAGCCTAGTTTTTTAGGACTTAAAGCCAGTTTACCAAGCAAAACGCTTCACTATCCCAGCCAGTCAGGTGGATTTGGGGGGTGGAAGGGGGGAACAAGGTAACAGAGTAAAATTGTGAGTTCACTCTATGGCCACCTAACTTAAAGACAAAAGGAAAAAAACACACCTAACTTTGGTAAGTAAAGCTAGCAATCCCCCCTATGAATACTAAGTTACAGTAGTGATACTGGAAGTAATGGCTACCATTTATTAAGTACCTACCAGTTAGTAAGTACTATATAAAATGACCCCCACATAATCATCAACAAACCTATGAGGTCAGCATTGCCATTAATAGACAAGGAGAACCAGAGAAATAAAGTGAACTTACTCCAGAACGGACCTAATAAAGGCAGAACCAGAATTCAATCCCAAGGCTGTATATTCATTCCAAAGCTCAAGCTCTTTCCATGGCATGATGCTATCTTTCAAGAATAAAAATATGACATCAGCCTTAAGGATCAAAAAAAAAATGTTAAAAATTAATCTCACCCACCTGTTTGATCCCTCTGGCACTCACTGGGTTCAAGCTGGGGGGTGGGGGTGGGGAGACGAGATAAAAAAACAGTGGGCATCTGAAGAAAGAGTTGGTGGGAACAGAGCCAGGAGAGTTACAACGAGGCCTCCCGTCTTCCCTCTGCCAGGGCAAAATTTAGCCATCCACACCAGGAAAACATCTGTCAACAACGGCCTTCATCCCAAGGCTGCAGGCACCTACCGTTTATTTGAAAATGTAATATTCTTGAGAAAATCTCCCGCACTAAAACTTTAACAGACGCTAGTTCAATGCTATCAATAACTGGCTAACAATCCACCTTCATTGTTCTGTGTCCCCGCCATTATTCAATTTTCAACTCTCCTCACTACTTCTTTTTTCCAGTCATTTGCACTACCCTTCTTCCCTCAAGCTCTAAAGGTTCGCATCACTCCCAGCTCCCCACTTCCCCACGAGAACATGCCAAACTCTCCCCATCTTGACAGGCTTACCAACTCTAGAGCTTCTCATACAATCCAATCCCCACACCAAAAATCCTAACCTCCCGCTCATATCTCAAACCTCATGCACTTCCAATTCTTCCATGCCCTTCTGAAATGGGGCTCGCCACGTCCCCGAGACCCAACCTTCCTCCCCTTCCTTCCCCACCCCTCACCATCCATTCTTCCCTTCCACTCCCGTGCCTTCCCTCTCCTAGGACCCCAATCTCACCATCCTTTCCCTTGTTTTCTGTTTTCAACCTTTTAAAATCCCCTTCCTTCACAATCTACAACCCCAATTTCTTCCCTCCCTACCCCCAAGACCCCACCTCTTCCCCTGTTCCAACCCTAGCTCCTTTCTTCCTCACACCTCTGAAATCTCATTCCTTTCCCCCCTTGCCCAGGACAGCAATTCTTCGTCCCTCCCTCAATTCCCACGCATGCCCCTCCTCGAGTCCACTCAAGCTAATCCTGCTCCCTCTCCCATCCTGGCCGCGAACCCCAGTTCTCGCACGCCCCCGCAGCCTTCCCCAGCACCCACACCCCACCCTGAAACCCATCTCCCACACCCCAGTATCCTGCTCCTCCCACCTATCCCTCAATCCACCCCCCTGCCCCGTCCCTCCCATGCTTCCCCTCCCCCACTTCCACTCCCGCCCCCCCCAAGCAGCCCTGCGCCCCGAGAGCGGCCCAGCCCGCGGCCGCCACCTACCTGTGCCCCTACTCGGGGCAGCAAGCGGCAGCTCCTTAGTGGCAGTTCTCTCCTTCCGCCGCGCAGCTGACGCGGGAGCTGCTCGGCACCCGGGGCACAAAGCTAGGGAGGGTGGGACACAGAGAGGGTGGGAGGAGGGAGGAGGGAGGGCCGGGCAGGGAGGCGCGCGTGCGCGGGGCCGACAAGCGGGGTGGGGGCGGGGCCGAGCCTAGGGGCGTGATCGCGTTTGGGGCGGGCCACCTGAGGGTGAAGGGCTCACGGTCGGCGGAGGTGGGCACTGCGCGTGCGTTCTCGTGCGGGGGCGGGGCCCCGGGGTTGCGTGCTGCGGGGATGGAGCTGAGTTAAGGGACGGTGGCCGCGCACGCTCTAGTACTTGTCTGGGAAAAGGCGCTGGGGCGGGGTGGCGCAGCCTGGCCTGCGAAGTAGAGGGAAGCGGGAGGGGGCTGGGCTGAGGGCGGTGTGGCGCTGGGAGGCGGGAGGGGAGGTGTGCTCGCGCCCGGGAACTCCGCCGAGGCCGCGGCGCGGGGCGGGGCGCGCGGGAGGTCCGCCGCCAGGACGTCCGTGCGCCCGGAGCTAACGGGAGGCCCAGGCGAGTGGGTCGCCGGGGCGGGGTAGGCGTGCGCCGGGAAGGAGGGATCCTGGCGGGGACGGAGGGGGGTCTGGTGGGGAAGGGAAGCGAGCGAGAGCAGAGGGACTGGTGCGGAGACGCGCGGAGACGGACAGCGGGAGGCGCCAAGGGTCATCCTCGAGAGGTGTCGGGGAGGGGAAGCCTGAGGGGCCTGCTCGCTCCCCTTGACCCTGAAGACGCAAGGCCCACGCCAGGAAGCTTTTTGAGGGCAAAAATAGTGTTTTGACTCACAAAAGGCGAAAACGATTGCAAGTCGAAATTATTAAATCTATCAAAATGTAAGATGTCAGCTGCAACGAAACCCACATCGTTATGAATTCTGTTTAATGTCTGGGGCATTTAATATATTTTTTACACAATGTGGTGCATGACCTCCACAAGTATGAATGTTTAGGCCCCTTGGAAGGTGCTCAGATGGCTTTGAATTGAGAAGAAGGATCTTGGGTGGAGATTAAGAAGGTGGTGTCAGGGCTGCTTTGTCTTGGAAACTACAGGCCCTGGTCTTGCCAGAAGCTCTAGGAAGGGCCTGGGAGCTAAAGATGAAAGAGTGAGCGGGAGATAAAGTCACTGGCCTGCATTTGGAGAACAGCATAAGATGTCGAGAAACTCCAGGGCAGGGATTGTAAAAAATGGAAAGCTGGTACCCTAGAGTGCACCAGTTTTGGTAAATGGAGACCTTGAGGGAAATTGTGTGTATTTAGAGCCAGGCACACCTTGCTCTAAAGGGA